GTGAAAAGTAGGTGTTACACTGTACAGTGGGATTAAGTGCCGAAATGTGCACTTCTGCCTACCCCTTCGGGGATAAAAAGGCGTGATGTTATGTTATGTGATATAAAACTTGGACATATTATACTTACTTATCCGTAGGTATGTAGTAAGATATTCTGATTTTACAGATGTCTTAAAATAGTTTATTTATCGCTAGCTAAAAGATTTTGAAAGTGAATGTTGAATACTGTACACTTACTTTTCGCCTACAAATAATATAAATGTCATGGATTTAGAAATTGTCAGTAGGTGTGTATCTTTTACTGCAAAGAGAACAATACCTTTAAACTTTTCAAGTGTGGGAGAGCCATGCTTCGGCACTAATGGGCCGGCTCGACCGGAGTGATACCACGGCCTCATAAAAAACCGTCGTGAAACAACGCTTGCATTGTGTTTCGTCGTGTGACTAAGGTTACCGGAGACCCAATTACCCCAGTCTCCCCAATCCCCAAATCCTCCACAATCCTCAAATTTGCAATTCCGAAAAAGCATTGGTGTTCCAGGTATCTATGGGCGGCGCTGGTTGCTAAACATCAGGTGATCCGTCAACTCGGTTACCGGGTAATGCAATAAAAAAACTTGACTGATGTATTTCATGTTGATGACAGTCATGTGATCTTTAAATGATATCTGAAGAAAGATTATGGATTACCAAAAACTATTTTTTTTATAAAACCAAGCTTTACAAATTAGACCACTTGAAAGTCATACTATCTCACGCCTACCTACTTTGTGTCATTTTAATTACTCGCCTTCTTGTCAACATATTTCAGTATGCGCAACGAGTGCTTACTTATGAAGACATATTATAATAAATACAGAAATTACGAGATCTCTGAGACACATGAGCTTAATTCGCGAGTTAATTTCTGTTTAGAAGTACGTAAATATAGAGTTATAATAATAATATACATGCAAATGCTATATATAACTAAGAAATTAATTATTATGTTTTCGGCTTACTCACGTAATAATTTGACGAGGTCGCGGGTCGCGAAATGCTGCTCGTGAATATGAGCCTCTAGCATGGCTTGAAACTAGTCGAGTTCTTCGTCCAAATATTACGTGAATAAGCCGAAAACATAATAATTTATTTAGTATGTCTCACGAAAGTTACAATACAAATACTGAAGATATTAATGCTATCAAGCTATGAAATTATGAGTTCATAATTAAAGTTATCATCAATAAAAGTAAGCCTCTCTGAAAGTAAGACTGTGGTTGGCGAGTTAGCCGGTTGAGTCCATGTTAAGTACTATTGTTCAATCGAATCTGGTTGAATCTAAACTAAGAAAACATAACATAACATCATGTGTTTCTATCCCCGAAGGGATAGGTAGAGGTTCTCATTACGGCACTTAATGCCACTGTACAATGTAACTCCCTCTTTTCACTATTTATGTTATGATTTTCATGTAATAGGGGGAAAGCCTATTGGCACGTACGGGCACAATTCCAGACTCCGTGTTACTACTGATTTTTTTTTCTTTAAAATCCAGACCTCCTGCCCAGCAGTCGCACTTGTGACCACTCGGCCAACGAGGCAGTAACCTAAGAAACTTAGCTTAAAATAAGAAAGATAAACGCTAGGAAAAATAAACAAATCATATTATGCTACTAAAACTGCTGTTTTATCTATAGTTAAAAATAATTGTGAATAATATAGGTTGATCCTATAAACGGAAAAAAGTAATTTAAAAAGATAAAGGTACTTTGTCTGTCTACATTACTTAACAAGATCATATACAGGGCGGGCGCATAAATGCTTAATCGCGCGTCTAAATTCACTTTCTACCGTTAAACCAGGTTTTATATATAGAGTGTTATATTTTTTGAATTACGACCTCTTAGCGTCAAGGTTGCAGTGACAATATGGACTATATTTTATTTCAGCTACGACTAAAAGTGGTAGCGACTGGTAGTGTTTATGGAATCACATGAAATGCTTTCAAAAGGGGAGGTTTGAAATTTGATTTCATTTGTTACGGTTTGATTCTAAAACATAATAACAATCATGTGTTTTATTTTGTTCAATCATCTGAGCATCAAGACAGGTTTCCACACGAAGGACATAGAACGCAGGATTTTTTTAAGGGTGGAAAATGACCAAATGACTTCTTCCGCCTGGGTGAGGCGGGAGGGAGTGTCAGACTCTTACTGACTAAAAACCACCCCGTTCCTTCTCCTGCACGTCGAGCCGGAGCCCCGGTTACCCGTTAGGTTCTCCGCGACAATATATACAATATACATGTAGTAGAAAGCGGTTATTTTAATATTATAAACAGACACTCCAATTTTATTTATCTGTAAATATTATAATTGTACATTTTAATTGTAAATTTATATAGAGGTATAACTAGCTATTTCCGCGCGGTTTTACTCGCTCTGCTGAGCGTCTATTAATCTTAGCGTGATATTTTATAGCCTATAGCCTCGATCGATAAATGGGCTATCCAACACAGAAATCTATTTTTCTAATCGGACCAGTAGTTTCGGAGATTAGTGCGTTCAAACAAACAAACAAACTCTTCAGCTTTATAACATTAGTATAGATTATTTAACAGATTTACTATCAAACTAATAAACAAATTGTTATTATAATACATCTGTACATATTATAGTAGTACATTATTTAAATAGGCTTCTAATTTCATTCATGTAATTAATCCAAAACCATTAGCTTTTGAGTTAGGCAGATACTATAAATTAACTCCTTAGGTAAGTACTTGAACTAAAGGTACTTCAATGTAAATCAATTTGTTTACAAAATGTAACCGAGACGCATTTGAATTATATTAAGTACTTAGTTGTCTATTTTTCGAAGCATAATTATGTATATTTCATATTTGTTGAGTTGTATATTATTTAATATTAAATCTAATAACATAAGTTGATTATTTATTTGCACGTAAAGTACATATGTACCTAACATACCTGACGGCACGGTTGGTGCGGTGGCTTGGCAACCGGCTGCCGTGCAACGTGTCGCGGGTTCGATTCCCGCACGGAACAACACTTTCTGTGATCCACAAATCGTTGTTTCGTGTCTGGGTGTCATGTGTATGTGAACTTGTATGTTTGTAAACACACCCACGACACAGAAGATAATCATAGGATGGGGCAATGTTAAAAAAAAAACACAAATACGTATAATTTTTTTTTCAGTAGATTCTATAAGGCGCAGCAAAACTGGAATGATTTGTCATCACAGTTTGATTCCGGTCGACCTTCAAGAAAAGAGCGTATTCCTTTTTAAAAGGCCTGCAACGCACCTGTGACTCCTCTGGTATTGCGGGTGTCCATGGGCGGCGCTGATTGCTTACCATCAGATGATCCGTCTGCTCGTTTGCCTCCTATTACATAAAAAAATGTTTCTCCCTGTTTCACGCTATATAATAACTGACTCTAAACCTTAACGATTAAGTGAGAAAAACCTGAATTATTAACGAAAATTCATTATCTTAGAACAAAATAAAGTCCTAGGAAAGATTAAATTACTAAAAGTGTAAGTTTTCTTTAGTAATTAAGTGATAAGTAGTGTTTTTTTAAACTTCATTATTCGTATTTTTTCTATTCTAGAAGCTTAATTGGTTAAGGGTTGGGCAATTAATCTTGTTTTAATCTATACATCTATACAGATAACTAAAACTGGAGTGTCTGTTTGTAGTATTAATATTACCATTGTTTACTACATGCATACAATACACATAGATACCAAAATAAAATTTTTTACAATTTTATCAGGCACAACTCCATGCTACTATTGAGAATTTTTAAAAACTCTAGTTACACTTTGTCCGACCCGGGAATTGAACTCGAGACACCATGCTTGGCAGTTGCACTTGCGACAACTCGGCCAACGAGGCAGTTAACTGAATTCAATAATATGAATAAATATATACTTAATAATAAACTTTTATCACACAGCGATTTGTGAGCAGTAAGCACGCATTCTTTCTATTATACGCAAATTAGCCGGCTCTTTGCTTCGCTCATCCGTCGGCATTCTTTAGAACTACTCATAACTCTGTAACGGTACAAAACCATCAAAACAATGGCTCACTGTTACCTTGTAAGTACTTAAGTAGTATAAGCTTGTAGATAACTATTTACGACTGTTTTAACGATTTTGTTTCTCACATACTCTTACGTAATTATCTGTGTGTAAAAGAAGTAGTTAGTAAGTAATAGTTACTTTTACGGTTTTCTAAACTAAATGTGACTTTTTCGTTTTATTACGAATTTTCTAAGCGTATAATAAGTAATTATGATAGACATCGATATACCCACGTGAATATACTGAGAAAATCGCGGGTTATTTATTTGAACATACTGACGAAAGCTCTACTATTTTTGAGCCACAGAGGGGCTCTTCTTCATGAGCAGCGGGCGCGGTGGCGGCGATTTCGCGCAGCCTACTGAGGAAGAACCCCTCTATGGCTTGAAACTAGAGCTTTCCTCAGTATATTGACATAGTAACCTACGATTTTTAGTTAATTTAGTATGTCCCACGATAGTTATTATAAAGACATCTATATACGTTCAAGAACTTCAGGAGTTGGAAATCCAAAGTCTGACCTTGGACTTTGACAATTAATTCCATCCTAATCCGTCTTCGTGTTAGAAGCAAAGGCTTTTAACCGGCATTAGGTTTTTTTTTAATGGGACAAGCCCGCCACAACCTCCCAAAACCGCTGCAACTCCTGTAAGCTAGGATCTACAGTAGATACAACCATGAAAACACCGGAACACTGAAGTCCGGCGCGTCCCAGGGACATGAGTAACTGTCTTGGTTCCCGGCATTAGGTTAGTTACAAACTGACTTCTTGCTTGATTTGTTTAATTATGTAATAATTATACGTGATCTTGAAATCTGACTAAATAATACTATCTAACCAGATCAATTCATTATGCATTTGCGCCTTCAAAGGAAAATAGCCCTTATGGCACATCAAACTTACCTATTGCTAGACATCCTGCGATGACTAAAGCTCTCATCACCAACATGGTTGCTTATTCTCTGCACCGTTTTAAGCACAACAGTTTACGTCGCTTCATTTGTGACCGTCGTACACTACACTGCATCACTTCACACTTACATAGAAACACATACGTTCACAACACTATTTGCGATGATATTGTTGCGATCTGGAACAATAGAAATTAAAATGAGGTTAGTTTTGAAGTAAAATTGTCTAATACACGCATACCAATTGTAGATAATACTATATTTCTATTTTAAAATGTATAATCAAAACAAGATGTTTTTACTGTATTTTTTTTTATTTTTAATCTTGATACATATCATTTAAACTGTCAAACACCGCGAGGACACCGGTGACCGCAACCTATTGTTCTTTAATTGTGTCTATAATGACGGTACTCAAAGGTGCACGCGCCGCGCCAAGACAAGCCACATCGTTCAATAAGGCCACGAAATATTCTATCAAAATCAAAAATCTCAAAGCGAGAAAGGTAAGTTAACATTAGATGACTGCAGGGTTGGCGCGGTGGTTGGACAACTGGCTACCACGCAACGTATCGCGTGTTCGATTCCCGCAAGGAACAACTCTTTGTGTGATCCACAGATTGTTGTTCCGGGTCTGGGTGTCATGTGTGTTTGATCTTGTATGTTTGTAAACGCACCCACGACACAGGAGACATTCCTGGTGTGGGGCAAAGATTAAAAGTATAAAAACGAAAAAAAAATCTTTGGTGTCGTTTGTGTTAATCGTTTTTTTTACACCCATTCAACGGCGCTGATAGTTACTTGTACTTGACTCCTAATATATGACTAGACATTCCAACGACCCTCATTTAAGTCAGTTCATTAGAAACTTCGTGCTATCCTTTTATCACACAGCAAATTAACAATTAATACCTTCCGTTTTTTTCTAAGAAAACTCTAGAATTAGCATACAAAGCATACTAATTATTATCCTTACTAATATTATAAATTGGAAGGTGAGTTTGTTTGTTTGTTTGTTCCGCTTTCACGCTGTAACTACTAAACCGATTGCTTTGAAGTTATGCAGACGTAAAGCTAGAATTCCGGATTAAATAATAGGGTACTTATTATCCCGAAAAAATTTGATATTCCCATGGGAAAACAGACGTATTGGTATTGATGGTGCTGTGTGTATTGGTATATGTCACATAGGCTACTTTTTATCCTTTTGTGACGCGAGCGAAGCCGCGGGTAAAAGCTAGTATGTTATAAATACACCAGCCTTGAATCTACGCTACTACTAACGCTTACTAAGTCACATTGTATCTATTGCAAAATGTATGACGTGTAGTCATTGGCCTAATAAAGGGACGAAGCACTATCGATTATATTTATTCACTTGTAGTATTAATATTATAGTATTATTTCGTACTATGGGTAGTAGTTATTTATGTTCATTGATATTATTATGATAGTGTTGGTTTGCAAAGGTTTTTATTTTTATTTTTTTTAAAACGTTGCCCCACACTAGGATTTTCTCCTGTGTCGTGGGTGCGTTTACAAACATACAAGTTCACATACACAATGACACCCAGACCCGAAACAACACTTTGTGGATCACACAAAGTGTTGTCCCTTTAAATTTAATTCAAAATTTAAATTTAACTCGTCGAGTACCGGTTTTGTAGACACAATTATAGAACAATAGGTTGCGGTCACCGGTGACCGCTTGGTGTTTGACAGTTTAAGTCAATTTTAATGGCATCGTGCATTTATTTCTTTACTGAAACAAAGAGTTTCCTTTTTCTTGTGCAGAACCACTATTTTAATGAATTATTGATAGTATGCGTATGTGAGCACTGACTTTGTCTTTAATATAGTTTTCTGATTGTTTAATTGATTTTGTCTCAAGGAAGATTGCTGAAATGGAGGTTTATTGGAGGTCTTTTTTTTAAGAGTTTTTTTTAAGGTTTTTTTATTGGAGGTCTATGAAGTAGTGGATACCGCGGAGAACTTAACGGGTTACCGGGGCTCCGGCTCGAACTGCAGGTTAAGGAATGGGGTAGTTTTCAGTCAGTAAGAGTCTGACACTTTCTCTTGCGTCACCCGGGCGGGAGAAGTCATTGGATGATTTTCTCTTCAAAAATACCTACTACCAGGTGACCCGTCTGCTTGTTTGCTTCTTTATCCCTCGAAAAGTCTTTACTGTTTTACCTTTATCCACGTCTTATGGATGTTTACTTTTGACATTTCCTAATAGTAAATCATCATCGCAATATTAGACATAGGACTTCTACTGCTGAACACAGCCCTCTATTAGTTAAATCTTACTATAGATTCTAAGATTTAAGAAAATGCATCAATCTAAGATGAACTTTCATTATTCATCCATTTTCCACGAAATTTGCTGTACGACTTCTATAACATGTTTACTATTATTAATGGTACCTATCTCACTATAAAATCTAGTTTTATTCTCCTATTTCGTGGAATAACAAGTCATATTAAAGTATAAACAAACACTAAAGAAAACCAAACGTCCAATTTGCGTCCCAAAGATGGCTGCCAATTAGCAAAAAGGTTTGTTAACAAAAACCAATGGACATCAAAGTTCGACTTTAATATTATTATCTGTGCCGGCCTTTAAATAAATAACTGAGCTGCAATGGCTTTGGGATAGAAAGATAGAGTCTAATTAATTAACTGAACACAGTTTGTATGGCCTTGGATTTTATTCCTTGACTTTTGAATTGAATATGGCTTTTTAAAATTGTTAAAAATTTGCGTTTTTTTGATTCCGCGTGAGTTTTTATCGGTTGCTGTTTCTATTGTATCTTATATTTAAATTTTAGTTTTATCGTTGATTCTGTTTTTAAAACTATTAAAACATACATTTAAGTCTTACTGTACTGCTTCATTACAAATAAATAACTAAGTAAGTTTATTTCAGAATACAGAGATTATACCTATCTCTATATACAATTACATATAACTTAAGTATAATTAAATATAAACAACTTAAAATACAAATAATTAAAATATTTACACAATTAAAAAAATAAAAATAATGTTTTCTTAAGCTTAAGGCATCAAGAAAAAAAAATATTGCGTACAACGACAACTTGACAGGCTTACAAAACTTTACCTCTATTTATTTTAATTCAAGGAAAAAATCATAACGAGCCTCCTTGCTTGGCAGTGCTCAGAAAGACCGAAGACCACTGAGCTGTACCACCTATGTATAAAATTATAACATTAATATCTACACGTATCATTTCCAAAATGAATAAAGAAGAACACAGACATAAAAATCTCAAGGCCATTGGACCAAATAGATCCATTGCTCTACAAAGGCAGTCAATTGCCGAATATCATTTTATTTTAATAGCCAAATTGATTTATATAGCTTTCTCAGTAATGGTGACCGATTGAACTGGGTCTGTTATTATTTGATCAAAGTGTGGGCTGTGAAAGTGAGTAACCGCAAATAGTCTAACGAGCACTTTATGTCCGATTTGTATTGAGACATTAGTGAAATTAGTGACGTTGTCTAATTCAATTTAGGGTTCAAAATAGAGTGTATTGTTGATGATTTTGTGTTTTTAACTTTATTGTTTAAACTACATTTTTCTGGTTGTCACCGCGGTCGATCTTACGTCATAAAATGTATGGATATAGATATATTCCCAAACCAGCTTCACTTTATTTTAAAGTCTCGAACTCTCAAACTCAAACTCAAAAGCATTTATTTCAATTAAACCATAATTTGGTACTTCTGAAACGTCAACAAATATGAAATTAATAACAGTCTGTCAGTCTGTCCGTCAGTGAAGCTAGGCGCTGTCAGTTAGTCAAACACTTATATTATAGACCTTATTTCCAATGTTTAGAGACTACTTTTGTACGAACTTTAGGGGATGATATTTCAACAGGATAAGAAAGAACTGTCCAAGTTCTAGACGTTACAAAAAACTGATACACGAACTTTCTTTTCCAAACAATGTTCTATTTAATACATTATGTATCGTACATATGTCTTTGACCACAACAAACAAGATAGTTAACTTTCAATAAATTAATCTATTATATGTATAAAATTCTCGTGTCACAGTTTTCATTGCCATACTCCTCCGAAACGACTAGACCAATTTTGATGAAATTTTTTGTGCTTATCCGGTATCTATGAGAATCGGCCAACATCTATTTTTCATCCCCCTAAATGTTAGGGGTAGTCCACTTCTATTTTTTTTTTTTTTTTTTGGATAATTTTTTATTTTTCTATTATTAAAAAAATTATAAGATACAACATACAAAAATACATACAATCCTCAATTTTCACCCTTCTACGAAATTATTTATATGGCAAAGTAATGTGTAAAGTGATAATGTAATATGTAGTTTCCAAAATGTCTACGTTATTCAATTTTACGCAACACCACAGCTATTAGAACAACGAACATCCGTATTTAATTTGTTTACGAAGAAACCGGATTTAATTTAATTTAGGGTAATTCCCAATACTACGTCAAGCCGGACCTATTGACCTTTAAATACTATATTTATTAAGTGTGTATTTACCAAAATATTTAGTATTTTTAACCAACTTAAAAAACGAAGGTTATTGACAATATGAGGCTGATTTTATTCTCGCGCTGACCGTCAGCGCTCATAGTTCAGCGTGTAGTTTGACAGATGATGACCAATCCATAGCTTCATCCGTCAGCGCTGACCGACGCACTCGTTATTCTAAAACGCTTTATAGAAGTTGATACGATTAGCGTGCAGTCAGCGCGATACTAAAACCGGCCTACAAGTATTTTGTTCACGGTAATTTAAACTCTATCGTTCTTAGTTTATGAATTATAATATAGAAACTCAAAACATAAATCATGAAAATCATTTTTACTCGTATAGGGAACAAATAATATGTACCTCATCTAATTTACTTTACTAAAAGCAAAGTTTTATCCTTTCTATAACAAGGTTGACAAAACGGAAGAGTTAAAGTGTTACTACAAGGAACAGGATTATAGGCCTCCAGTATGGCTTGAAACTAGTCGAGTCAAACAATAAATATAATAATTAATGTTAGATTTATAAAAATCCTTACTAATATTATAAATCGGAATGTGAGTTTGTTTGTTTGTTTGTTTGTTTCGCTTTCACGCCGTAACTACTAAACCGATTGCTTTAAATTTTT